CAACCTCGGATCCCACAGACCTCACTTCTTTGCTTCACAACCTCGCCTCACAACCCTCATAACCTCGTCTCACGATACTCATAGCCTTGCCTCATAGCCCTCATAACCTCGTCTCACGATACTCATAGCCTTGCCTTACAACCACGCCTCACAACCCTCATAACCTCGCCTTACGATACTCATAGCCTTGCCTCACAACCTCGCCTAATAATCCTCACACTCCTCACAACCTCGCCTCACAATACTCATAGCCTTGCCTCACAATCGCGCCTCACAATCCTCACAGCCTCGCCTCACTGCCTTGATGCAACAATCTGTGTCTGTGGCTGTGTGTGTCTGCGCAGGCGGTGAGAGGACGCTTGCCATTTTGTTTGCTTGCTGTTTTGGCCCTTGTTATGAGAGACGGGGAATGATCACTATTTGTCGGGATGTGGTGCCTTTGATTAGCGCGTTCCAGATTGGCTGTGGAGGTGGGGGTGGAGGTGGAGGTGGAGGTGGGGGTGGAGGTGGGAGTGGAGGTGGAGGTGGAGGTGGAGGTGGAGGTGAGGGTGGAGGCGGAGGTGGAGGTGGAGGTGGAGGTGAGGGTGGAGGCGGAGGTGGGGATGGAGGCGGAGGTGGGGGTGGAGGTGGAGGTGGAGGTGGAGGTGGAGGTGGAGGTGAGGGTGGAGGCGGAGGTGGAGGTGGGGGTGGAGGTAGAGATGGAAGAAGAGGAGGTGGTGGTGGAGAAGAAGGAGAAGGAGAAGAATGAGGAAGAGGAGAAGGAGGAGGACTAGGACGAGCGAGAATGGCTCTGAGCTTTGAGACATAAAATGTGAGGTTCGCCGCCAGAAACCCGATTAGTTCGCGTTGTTTATCTTTTCGGCCGCCGAGGATCACTTGACATTTGATGAGGGAGGGAGGTAGGGGAGAAAGGGAGGGAGGGAGTAAGGGAGGGGAGAAAAGGAGGGAGGGGAAAGAGGGAGGGAAGGAAAGGAAGCAAGGAAGCAAGGAAGGAAGGAAAGAGAAAGAGGAGGAGGAGGAAGAAGAAAGTTAAGTTTATCTTTTCGGTCGCTGAGGATCACTTGACATTTGATGAGTGAGGGGAGAGGAAGGGAGGGGGAAAGAGAGGGCGGGAGGGAGGAAAGGGAGGGAGGGAGGAAGAGAGGAAGGGAGGGATACAGACAGGCAGACAGACAGACAGTCAGACAGACAGTCAGTCAGTCAGTCAGACAGACAGACAGACAGACAGACAGACAGACAGACAGACAGACAGACAGACAGACAGACAGACAGACGGACGGACGGACTTTGAAGTCGCCGTAAGGCATTGATGTGTGACCCTGTTGTCACGAATCCGTTTGATGCTGAGACAGGGCCCGCGGGGAGGGGGGGGGGTCCAGCAGGTAGGATGGGTAGGGGGAGGAGAGACAGAGGCAGAGGAAGAGACAGTCGGCGATTAGTAGCTTATTTTTTTACCTTGTTTTCACGAGCCGGGATTATTTGACATTTGGTGAGAGGGATTGTGAATGGGAGGAGGGGATAGGAGTTGGGGAGGGAGAGGGAAGGAGGTGAAAGAAGGGGAGAGTATGGGGAGAGGGAGAGGGGAGGGGAGCAAAAGGTAGAGAGGGAAAGGGTGAAGGAAGTAGAGAGGGGGAGGATGAGGGGGGAGTGGAGAGAGGGAAAGTGACAGGGAGAGGGAGATGGGGAGAGGAAGTGGAAGATCGTATAAAAAAATACGAAAATATAATTTTGTTGAAAAAAAAATATATATATAAACATGACCTCGTGCAAATTACTGATATTCATTATGTGTTTACCTACTTAATTATTTATCTGTTTTTTTTCATGATGCTTGTTTTTTTTTTTTTTTTTTTTTTTAAGAATTAGTTTTTTTTATTTACTTGATGCTTTCTTTTATTTATTTATTCATTTATTTAATAATCAGTTAATGCTGTTATTATTACTAATAATAGTAGCATAAACTGTAAATAGACGGCGCGCTATACATACACACGAAGAGAGGATCTGTTAGGGCAGGACCAGGTCAGGGGGGGGTAGATAGGGGGAGGAAGATGGGGGATCTGGGGGAGGGAAGTGAAGGGAGGAGGGGGGGGGAGGATGGCGAGCAAAGGGCTTTCTGAGAATGGATTAGAAGAAAGTTGATTTGAAAGCGCTGTGTGATGAAAGGGGGGTAAGCGGTAAGGAAAATGGCATTGGTAATGAGAAGGAAACCAGCAAAAACAACTGTAACAACAACAACAACAACAACAACAACAACAACAACAACAACAACAACAACAACAACAACAACAACAACAACAACAACAACAACAAAAAACAAAAACGGAAACAACAACCACAGTAAAGAAATCAGGAGGGGGGAGAGAAAAGCCAAGGAGAGTGGGAAAGTGAAGGCATACATCAAGGGCGCAGCGGGGGGGGGGGGGGGAGGCGTAAACAGTTTACTTCGCACATGCCGGGAGTCTCGCAGGTGAGGGAGGCTCCGTCGCCTGGCACGTGTAAGGGACGAGCGGAGGACGGCGGGGTTGAGGCAAGGGTGAGAAGGGGGGGTTTGGAAGGGTGAGGGGGGAAGGGGAATAGATAGGGGGAGAGGGGAAGGGGAGGGGAGGGGAGGGGAGGGAAAGGTAGGGGAAGGAGGGAGGGGAAGAGAAGGGGAGAGGAGAAAGGTAGTGGGAGGGGGGAGGGGAAGAGTAGGGGAGAGGAGAAAGGTATGGGAAGGGGGGAGGGGAAGAGTAGGGGAGAGGAGAAAGGTAGGGGAAAGGGGAGGGGTAGGGGGAAGGGAAAGGGAAGGGGAAAAGTAAGGGGAATAGTTGAGACAGGAGGAGGAGAGACGGGAAAGTGGAAGCAGCCTTGCAGTAAGTAAGGGGAAGGGGAAAGGAAAGGGAAAAGGAGCAGGAGGAGAGAAAGAGAAAATGGACAAAGGGAAAGGCAGGGGCAGCGGAAGGCGAAGAAAAAAGGGGTTAAAAAGAAGGAGAAGGGGAAGGGGAGAGAGGAACATAATGCAGAGAGTTGGCAACCTGGACGAGGATGCGAGGATGGCCGGCAGTGGAACGAGAGACGTGGATGTTTTCGGAAATGGGAAAAGAGGCTGAAAGCGAGGAGGGGGGAGGGGGGCAGTGGAGGGGTGGGGGATACATGGAAGAAAGGAGGAGAAGGAGTAGGAGGAGGAGTAGGAAGAGGAGGAGAAGAAGTAGGAGGAGGAGAAGAAGTAGGAGGAGGAGGAGGAGGAGGAGGAGGAAAAGGAAAAGGAAAAGGAAAAGGAAAAGGAAAAGGAAAAGGAGAAGGAGAAAGAGGAGAAGGAGGAAGAGAAGGAGAAGAAAATAAGAAGGAGAAGGAGAAGGAGAAGAAAAGGAGAAGGAGAAGGAGGAGAAAAAAAGAAAGAATGAAAGAAAGAAAGAAAGAAAGAAAGAAAGAAAGAAAGAAAGAAAAAAGAAATAAGAAACATTGAAAAACGATAAGAATACAGACACTGTGACAACTTATTGACATACCGTCCCACCTCCTCCGAACATGATCCGTGTTGTAGCAAATCGAACGTCGAAAGCAAGAAAGGTATTCTGGGAATGATCCGCCGTCGAGGAAATGAGCGATGAAGGGGGGACGGAGGCGAACGAGAAAGATTGTTGACAGAGCGGCAGGTAAACAAGTGTGAGCTCGCAGGTATACGGAGATGCGAGACGCGCTTGGCTCTCGTCAAAGAATAGGGGGGGGGGGGGCACTCTCTTCTACTTTTCTCTCTCTTCCTTTTTTTTATGGGGGGGGGGGTCTGATTCTTGCCCTCAGTTGTATTTTTATCTGTATTTTTTTCTTTATTCGTATTCTAGTTTTTTCTTGTTTTTTTTATATATATACATCCTTGTTCTTGTTTATTTTCATACTGTTCATACTGCCTTCTTCCTTTCCTGCATTCCTCCTCCTACTCCTTCTCTCTCCCTTTCCGTCTTCCCACCTCCCTCTCCTCCCCTTTTTTTCTCACTCCTACTTCTCTCTCCTAGCTCCTCTTTCCACAGCGCCCCACTCAACCCTTCCTTAGTCTCCTTTCCTCCCGTATCTCCTTTCCTTCCCTTCCCTCCCTTTCCCTCCCCTTCCCTCCCCTTCCCTCCCCTTCCCTCCCCTTCCCTCCCTTTCCTCCCTCTCCCTCTCCCTCTCTTATTGCTGCATTCTCTTTCATTCCCTCTCCTCCATCTCTCTCCTTCTCTCATTCCCTCTCCTCCATCTTTCTCCCTCTCTCATTCCTTCCTTCTCCATCTCTCCCCCTCTCTCATTCCCTCTCTTCCATCTCTCTCCCTCTTCATCTCCCTCACCTTCTCTATATCTCTCCCTCTCTCACCTTCTCCCTCTCCTTCCCCCTTTCCTTCTTCCACTTTATAGGCCTGACTGTCGGACGCCGCAGCCGGTCATGTCTGCCTTCCATTCGGCCATTTACGAGCCGTGTTTGTTGGTAGCACACAGCTTTTACCAGACCGATATTGATTGGGTGGCTCTAAAGACGTTCTTTTCGTACGTGCTCTGAATGTGCTCGTTCTCCGGATGCGTTTCTTTTTCGCTGTTGTTTCGAGACTTTTGCGAAGTGTTTGTAGTTTGTCGGTGCAGTGCTCTCGAAAGTCGCGGAGAGTTGGGAGTATTCAACTGTTCTATTTTCAGGGATTTTGATGCGAAGGTTTTCAAAATGTGTAAAATGTGTATTGGCGTCCTATAGCAGTGACGTTCAGAAGGAATGACATTCAGCGCAAGAAGAATTGTGAGGGAAGAAAATGAAGTTTCGTAACTGTTGTCGTTTGCGATAATCAGCGCCGGCAGCACCGAGGTGCCTAAAGAAGCAGAGCTGACAGCAGCAAGAAGTTGATTACATCCGGTGTCCCTGGTGGGATGTGTTAGCGAGGGGCGTTGCGCAACAGGGCTGTGTTGCAGCAGGACTTGCATCAGGGGGCAAGCCCTGTTGTGGAATGGCATCCTAGGTGGATTCGCGGGTGACGGTGCTGTGCGTCCTCTGTCTCGAAATGCTGGCGAACAGGCAACGCAGTATCTCCTCCAGCGGGAGCCTGAGTGAGGCCGAGGACCTGTTCTGCTGCGGCCTGGGCGTGAACGAGGTGGAGGAGGCGACGCTGGAGGGGCGGGCGGTGCTGGTGCTGGCGGGGATGGTGGAGGAGGCCGTGGTCACGCCGCTCGGCCTGCGGGCGATGAAGGGCTTGGCGGCCTACCTGCGGGTGCTCAGCTCCTCCATGCTGACGGCGGTGGTGGTGCAGGTCATGAGCAAGAGGCCCCGCTGGCTCCCCCTCGAGTACCACTGGGCGCCGCTGGACCACGACCCGCTGCTGCTTCTGCTGGAACTACTGGGCAGCCGCCTCACCGTCCTCACGTACAGCTGCCACCCGCTGTCCCGGGAGCCGCTGATCAACGCCATCGCGGCCATGCCCGCCCTTACCGTGCTCAGCCTCCCCGAGGCGGCGGACGACAACGCCCTGGCGGTGGTGGGGGCGGCGTGCCACAGCCTGACGACGCTGTGCGTGCGGGGCTCCAGGGGCGTCACCGACGACGGCATGCGACGCCTCCTCCTGCGGCGGCACGCTTACACGCGCTCACTGTGGAGGCGCCTATTCTCACGCTGGCGCAACCTCAGGAGCTCCCTTAGCCGGCAGCAGGCGCGGTACCGGCCGCTGGCGCCGGCCACGATTGAGAACTCCTTGCTGGTGCCAGCCGACGCCGAGCACCTGAACCCCCTGAGCAGCACCTTGGTGCACATGGACCTGGGCGGCACCAAGGTCAGCACCCAGGGGGTGGAGTGGGCCAAGAGCATCCTCTCTCCCAACGCTTATGTTTTCGCCACACACTCGCTGCGTCGCTCGCTACGCTCCCAGACCTCCCTGGAGGACCAGATGTCCCGGCTCTTGGCTCCCCTCACCCCCTAGTGCGGCGCCCGGCCTCACGACTGCTCCCTCTTGCCCTCTCCCCTACGCCGCTGCCCTCCCTGTGGCCTAGCAGTCTGTCACAGCAAGGATATCAGCTGAGACCTCCTCTCAAGGACCCCACAATCATATGGAGACGCACATCTCGGTTTGACTTAACAAGCGTGCTAATCATTTCATCTCCAGAGCTCGTGAATCGACGCTCTAATGACGGCAATACTCAGACGAACGGTCTTGTTGAATAATCACATGTCTATGGAAATAGTTAATGTTCATATATGTATGTATATATCACACCAGATAGATGTGTATTTTTGTATGGTTTTGACTTCGAAAAGGAAGTAGAAAGGAAGAAAACGTTTTATTATAGAGAATAAATATTATGAATATGGCTGTGCCTTCCGGAATCTGTGTACGTATCTATATATTTTGTATATGTTAGAACCCTGCAACTCCAAAACGCGCTTAGATGTAGCGAGAAAAAAAGCGTTGTATCGTTCCGAATCGTTTTAGTTCGTGTTCGTCGACGGTCCCTAAAGTGTATGTTTAGGCTCTGTGTCAGAAGAAAAATCCTATTTTTTTTATCTCAAGTATCTCGGGAGTGAGCAAGTGCCGGCTTCAGAGTGCTACCGTGACGACCGGGAGCA